CTCGACAACAAAAAGACGTTATTCAAGGGAATTCCATCAAATTGCAACTACTTCTTTCTATGTCCCTCGGCGTTGAAAGCAACAAAATTGAAATCTCAATTTGAATTGATTCTTTTCCGACCTTTTAACTTCCACTATCGTATTTGTCTTTGAACGTAAAATTACTATTCCTCTCTATGTCCCTCGGCGTTAAATTTCAATAGAATTGATTCTTTTCCGACCTTTTTACTTCCACTTCATACTATTTTCTGTGAGGCATTTTGTYAAGGTATTTATGTAAGCATGCTTTCCTACTGTCGAATTTTTGAATGTTCGCATACCATATAACAAGAAAAGTAGTCAACAATATTCAAACTTTTAACTCGCACTTAAAAATACTGAAATCAAGAAAGTATAAGCCTCTTTTTAATGAAAAGTTTATAAAGGAATCGAATTTACAGTTAACTTGATGGAAACTCATGCAATTTTGTTTGCGCGAGTTGGTTTTCAGCTGCTCGCTTCAGTGGACATTTTGCCATCAATAATTTAACAAATTCAAAGCTGCGTCAATGATCGGCGCAATAATGCAATACTGCATTCAACAATTACAAGTTCAATTGACTCTGAATCGCTTTTTAGCTCWCTAGAATTATTTGAACATTGGAATTTTTCAACAAAGTTAAATCATATTAAAAACGTAGGTAATCGAAAAATGAATCGAAAAACGTTGCTTTTTTTTAAATATTTTCAAAACTGAAAGAAGTTGAAATCAAGTATTTTTTTTTCTAATTTGAGAACTATGTAACTAAAAGTAAAGGTTTGAATTTGTCCCATTTTGGGGAGGGTGTTTGAAAGGAAAGAATTTCTTTTTTGAGCGCTAGCTATTACGTGTTACTATCACCAGGATATTCGGAAATCGTTTTGGTTTAGCAATCAAAATTTGAACTATTGCAAACATTGAGACAAAATACGCCAAAAGTAACTACGATGGTTGGTTTGTTGATATTGTATTGTGTAGTTGATTAGTTTARGTATGGTTGCTAACTAGGCCTCATTATCAATACCCTGCCACTTGAACGTCTTAATTTCAAGAGGTTCATTTTCAATATGCCTAAMAACAAAAGAAAAAAACAAAAGACGAAAAGGATTGTTCGAGGTGCATGTGATGTCATAGTCGCTGTTTTGGTTGATTTTGACAAAAGAAAAATCAAAACRAAGAATGGGAATTAACAKTGGATTCCACGRAGTCTTGGTGACTTTTGTCATATCAACCAACTTGGGGGCCATGTCATTTGTCTTTTTATTTTCAACGTTTCAGTGGTAACATTAACTATACGATTTTTTTTCTTTTTTCTTTGGGATGATTACACTTCTTTTTACATATCATAATGTTTCTCAAAATTGAGATTGTTTTTTTTGCAAAGGATAGAGTAGATTTCGTATGACTGCGAAACGTCACAGAAACAGGACACGGTAACAGTACRGATTGATGACATATCTTGAACTAATCACTGCACTGGAGACATTTTCTTTATCTATTTAAAATGCTAGTAGCACTCAGCACCGTCTCGGGTTCCCGTAGAGAGTTTTTCACAATTCGGGATCTGAATACATGATGGTGATGGTGATAATGATGATGATGATGATGACCATGATGATGATGATAGTGATGATGATGATGATGATGATGAACCTGATAATGATGATGGTAGATGATGATGATGACCATGATGATGATAGTGATGATGATGATGAATATGATGATGATAATGGTGATGATGATGTAGATGATGTTGAACATGATGATAATAATGGTTATGATAATGATGTAGATGATGAGATGATAGTGATGATGATGATGAACATGATGATAATAATGGTGATGATAATGATGTAGATGATGATGGTGATGATGTTGACCATGATGATTAT